CTTTGGATGGTTTTAGGAGCTAAAACAACGGGCAAAATATGTGAAAAGCACAATAATTCGTCAGTAATCGGTGAAGTCCGCCCTAATTACGAGGGCATACTTTGATCGTCCATCTGGTCTGGTTTGTTCTGATAATCTACGCTACAAATCATGCTACAGGTGATCCATCGCTTCTAATTTACTGATTTTCCACCTACACTACAATCCTCTTAATACAAACTCCAAATATAAGTGCACATGACCAGACGACTACTACGTACTCCGAGTAGTAAGCAGGTGCAGGTACAAAACAGTCCCGAATCGAGCCCGTTGGACGACCATAATGCTTCCTCCTAATCACGGTCAACGGCGTCCATCCTAGCGGGTTACTGTAATACAGTAGTTTGTTCAGTAACGTTAGTGTTGATTAACATCCCGAGCCACCGGCCAAAAGGTAGCACGACGTGGATTCAAACATGGTCATCATGATGGACGTGACGGAGATGCAAAGGATGCCGAACGTCACGACAATGATCAACGCGCCTATGATGGGGTACTTGCCTCCGTGTTGGAGCATTTCCTTGACAGCGGCCTTTCGCGGCGGCAGGATCACCGTCCAGCAGCACGCAATGACAGTTGTGGCGTACACGACCAAGAACGAGTACGCGGCGTCGTTGCGGACTTCGGCGGTGTCAGTCTCAATGTCGGCTTTGGTCACTTTGAGCTGCGTCGAGTAGACGTTGGTGATCATCGAGCCAAACACTGTGGGGAGGTTGGCCACAGTCGTGAGCAGACCGTACATGAGGCCTTCGTTGCCGTCGCCCGCCAGTTCCACAATCACATACGTGGACACAACGAATTGGATGCCAAGGGGAAATTGTTCGGTGAGGGGGATGCCAAGGTAGAACCACTGGTTGCGCACGATATCGTAGATGGTCAGGAACTGTGCGATGGCGTCGATGACGCTGCCAGTCAACGTCGTGATGACCAAGATAACGCGCCAGTTCCAGTGGGTGCCCCATCGGCCGACGGCGAAAAACGTCGAGGACAGGATGAAGTACGAGAGCACGCCAGCGACGGAGCTGTTGACGGGCTCGACGTGTGCCCAGTAGACCTGGATGTAGCTGCCCGCCCACGACGAGATCCCGGCCGAGAACAGGTTGAACATGAAATTGAAGATCATGACTTGCCACACGGCGCGCTTCTGGATGAGTTCAAACACGTCGTGAAAGTACGCGGCAAAGTGGATCGCGCCGCGCTTGCGGTCTTTCATGAAAAAGTACACGACAAACACATTCGCGACCACGGGCACCGCGAGGATCCCGAAGAATGCGTTTACGCTGATATCAAACCCAAATTTGCCGCCGTAACGCTCCGAGCTCATGAGGAACCCAGACAACGCGGTGGACACTGCTTGGAACACGAAGCGGGTGCCGTAGATGGACGACTGCAGCCGCCCACGCACGCGGTCGGGTTCGCGTTGGGCGTATTCGACCACCATGGCGTCGCATGCGACGTCGGCCATGATGTAGCAGAAGCAGGCCACGGAGCAGAGCAGCACGAGGAGGGATCCGTTGGCCTGCGCGGCCTTGATGTTCTCGACCGATTTGTCCCCGACCACCGACGGACCAGCCGGTTTCAATGCAATCACCACGAAACAGATAGCAGTCATAAGCCATCCAATCAAAATGTATGGCTTGCGGCTGTAGCCCATGATGGGGAAGCAGTCCGAGAGCATGCCGTAAAACACCTTGAACGACCAGCCCAAATTCATGAGACCGGTCGCAGAGCTCAGCGCGGCCGCCTCCAAGCCAAAGTAGTAGGTCAGCACGGGCAGCCTCATGCCCGTGAGTCCGCCGTAGCAGATGCCCACCACGGCGTACTGGAACAGAAGGGTCATCACTTCGGGGGACGTGTACACGAGCGCGCCGCCTTCGCGCAGGGCGCCATCCTCGAGGTCCAGCGGGGTACTTGTGTCTTTGAACCCGTCGACATCCTTGTCGGCCTGTTTCGTGACCGACGTGATGAATGACACGCGTTCTTGGTGGAGATGGTTAGCTGCCATGATAAACCCAAAAGTGAGAAGATGAGACTGAGTTTTCAAGCTCGAACGCTGAATATGGTTATGTTTTCACCAGATGTATTGCGACTAGTTGAAGTTCACGATTTCGCCAAATCTATACCGGTATGGTACAATGTACAGTGCACTGTGTACGTACTGTACTTCATGCAGTTGAGAACGCCACGCTTGGGCACTGTCCTTGATGCTTGGGATTCTTTACATGTCCAGCTCGACATGCACTGGAAATGGCAATGTGCCTATGCAAAGTGTCACGATGTTTATGTGTCTAGAGCAATTTCGTCATACATACAACAGTTATACATACGTAATACTGTATATACTCCGAAGTACTTCGAAGTACAAAAGTATTTAACTGGAAGTTTTTGATACATGTAGCCTAACCGCGGAAGCTCGACAAGGCGTCCCCATAATACAGTAGAGCCCCCTCCGAAGGTGTAGCTACTACGCCTAGACGATGGACGCGATGGTCACCAAGACTATCCAAGCCCCAATCCAAGGTGAGCAATTCAACTTAGTGTGCACGACGTACTCGGTGGAGGCAAGGGAATTCCACCAACATATGGAACGTGAACTTTATGACGCTTTAAGTCGATGATGTGAATCAAGTGAATGGATGTTGGTGGCGGGCAAGTTCTCGTCTGGTGAACTTGCCACGTAATGCACCAAACATACCAAAAACTTGTCCGAAAGAAGCATAACGTTACAGCACCAGTACATACCAGCGTCATGTCTTGGATGTGACATCACGCAACTGTCTCCTTTCACCTGTGTAAAGTATGGCTGCCCTTGTCTGAATAAAAACCCAGCAATGAGCACTAACAGTGATCGAAGGCGTCGAGGGGACAAATACAAGTTCGAGACAACTTTTCTGAAATTTTGTATGTGTGTGGCACTTGATTGGAGCAACAAAACATTCATTACGTGCAAGCCTTAGAAAATGATACTGTATCCTACGAGATATGTTACGATAAAAGCGAAAACAATAAACCTTTGGAACACTGTCTATCCCCTATGAATACTCCACGGAGTACCAGTGATTTTCAAAATAGTACTAGTATTTAAATAGTGCATAACCTCAAATTTAGTATCTCAAAGTAACCCTAATCCTGGTTGCCCCTTGATGCCTTCGATCACTGTAAATCAGTAGTTTGAATACAAAACCCCGAAACCCCGAAACCAAGCCTCAAAATGTCACATACGAAAAAAATCGAAGTCAAAGTAATCGTTTAATCAAAATGGAAATTGAGGTCAATATAATCCAGCATACTTTAATCAAGATAATACAATTGGTCAACACCATAACAGTCAAAATATGCCTTTCAAGCGTAACAATTTATTGTTAATTGTATGCGTAACAATTTATTGTTAATTGTATGGACTTTGAATATAATAATATTTTCCTTAGTACTACTAGTACTACGTAGTATTAGTACGAAGTACTAGTAATAATTTAACAGACTGTTATTAATACTTAAGTAGTACATACATACTATTTATAGTATGTATTGTCCTCCTTTTCGCTGAAATTTGGACTTGGTGTGTTTATCAGGTAGCTAAGGATTTGTGTCAAATCTTCATCAATGTATGGTTTATGTGTGGTGAATAATTCCATATTGTTGAACAACTACCCCAAAACAGAGGTTCGCAATTCAACTGACTTTCATATTTTGATCCATGTTCAATCTGTTAATAGTTGCCGTCGATAATATCTTGCATATGCTATCGGATCGATGGATAGTAAAACTACATGCAATTCGAGTGGTACGCCAGGCCAGTCGAATAGTCTCGGAACGCAGGCGGCACGTACGTGCTGTCGTCCGCCGTCTTGGCCCTACAAACCACACAATCAATATATATATATATATCATATCTTACAATCCATCATAATATATATATATATTCTCTCTCGTACAGGATTTTCTTGCACGCGTTGCACGGGGTTTGGTACACTTTGTCAAAGTAGCTCATCCACGTCTACAAATATCCTTATTAACAATCAAAACCACAAATATATATATATATATCTGTACGTACAAAAAAGTGGTAAAAGCACGTGTCGGGGTAGTGCACGCGCAGATAACTCAGGGCCTACCAACCACCACAAACACATAAATATATATATATATATATATATATTTCACCGTACCTGGCGAGCATGCAGCGTGATCTGCTCAAATAGTTTGTGCTTGGACTCGGACCAGGCCCCGAGCGGCGCCGGTTCGTTGAGCGGAAAGATGCTGATGCGCTGGATGAACTTGGTCACTTGGAGGCCGGCGGCGCGCGCGGTTTCCTGCTCCTTGCCGCTCTCTTTGGCGTCCAGAATGAGCTTGCGGAGCTCTTCCTGCTCGATTTTGGTGGCTTCTTCCGCCGCCATCTTCACTTTGGCGAGCAGATCGTCGCGTTTCGATTTGCGCATCACCTTCTTCGCCTTGAGACTAGCCTGCCGCCGCTTGGCCCGCAGCCCCCGGTTCATGCCGAACGCCGGCGAGTTGGGCGTCGATGGCGTCATGGGGCTCGCCGACACGTCGCCGTCCTTGGGGCCGTCCTCGGGGATGTGCGGGCAGAAACTCATGTGCACCACCAGCTCGTTGTGCAGATGACACGTGATGGAAGTGATTACCTTGCGCCCGCCGCGGGTGGTCTCGGTCTGCTTCCAGAACTTGGCCGCTTTGTTGCGCTTCATGATGTACTCCATCATCTGCCCCAAGTCGGCGGGCTGGAGATCGCCCTGCTCGTCGAACACGATGGACCGCGCACGTTTCGATGACTTGGGCGTGAAGCGGTCGTTCACCTACGACAGATGCTTACTGTTAGTTCATTCGCGGAATATCGTGTGGATACAACGATGTGTACCTTCATGGGGGCCTTGACCTTGTCGATGGGATGCGTGGCGTACCCAGCGGGGGCCAGCGCAGATGCATGGGAGGATAGGTACTCCATGCGTGGGAACCACGTTGTCATTTGAGACAGCCACACGTTCGCTCCCTTGCCCGCCAACTCGCGCACCTATGTTACAAGTGTAAGGACCGACGACGACGATGGAGACGCACCTGGAGCTTCCAGTAGTACTCGAACATGAGATTGCGCTGCGCCTGGGTCACTTTCTCAATGTTCTTGGTCTTGTCCTCGAACTCGACGCTCAACTTTTTCAAAATCGCCAGGTTCGACTGTACGCGGTCGACCTTTCCCTTGAGCGACGTCGCGATCGAAGTCGCGTTGGCTTCGCCATCGTCCGACGCTCGACTCCCCAAGCTGCCTAGCTCGAAGATGAGTGCCTCAGCTGCCGCGCGGACGGCGCCAACGCGGCCGGCCATGATGTCTGCAATGCCCACTGGATCGCTCATATTCTGTGATGGCAATGCTGGTAAAACTACCTACCGTCGTTTATATCTCAAAACTGAAACACGATTTGATTGGTCGTAATTTAGCAGCCAATGAGATTTGTTCTATTTACATCTGGAGCTTTTTGTGCTCAAACAACTTGGCCATTGCCGCGTCCTTGCCGTTGCGGCGACCGCCGGCGCCTGGCATGGTGTAGACAGACAGCCTTCTGCTTGATGGAGCCCCTTCAGCAGAGGAGGAGGCACCCTGTCTCTGTGTCTCCACCAAGCGCCGCTGCTCGGGGTCTTGCTCCAGCGTCATGGCAATGCCTTCGTTGATGAGCTTCCGCATCTCGCCGCCCATGTTCTTGGAGTACAACGTGAAGACAGGGTACGTCACCTTGGGCTTGGGGTCTAACTGTGCAGGGGATCCACCAATCATCGTGCCCCACGCGCCATTCTGTACGATAGCCCGCGCATCGCTCACTTGGACTTGTCTACACACTCGCCATGAGCATTATTCTACTGTCACGCCCGCGTCCTTGGTTACCTCGAGCTCGTGTTGGACGCCACATGTGCAGCGTATTCCTGCATCGCTTGGATGTTTTCCGCTCGCTTGGCGGCCAAATACTGCATCAGCAGCTTCGCCTTAATGCTATATCCATATCCCCATCTTCAATGCATCTCGAGTTCCTTACACTCATCACATTACCTCTTTGGAATGCGCACGACATGGTGGGCATGATGCTGCATGCGCTGGAACTCGATGGGAGTCAGCATCGTCTGCATGACGCTGAGCTGCTGCTCCATCTCGTCGAGCGATTCTTCCTGGATGCCCGTCCGCAGCAGCCGCCGCGTCGTTGCCAATTGCGCGCTCGTATCCGCGCCAAAGTCTGCCGCCTGTGCGCCGCCGCTGGAGGTCGTCACGAGCACCGTTTTGTTTTGCTGCAGCTGCAACTTTTCGGTCCGCTGGCGCTCCCGGTCGGCGTTGTCCCACAGCAGCGACAGCGCGACCATGCGCGCGCGGCTGCAGCTTAAAAACGCCCTACTCCCACCAAATGTCCACATTGACCATCACTCTGGCTGTCGTTCGTCTATTCGTACTTGCTCGCGCGCTGGGCGTGGATGACCCGCCACCGCCACCGCGCCATCATGACGCGAAAGTTGCCAGTTTCCGAGCTCCCGTTGAAGTAGTCGACGAGGAACCGCCGCAGGACGCCGCCCGCCTTGGCCTTGTTCTTGCACATCAGCTATAGAAAGGGGATTGGGCACATTAGGTACCATCTTAGACACACATCAGACAACTGTATATATTAGACATAGTAACCAATGAAATAAATGCATTCGTTTTCTCATCGTCCAATTATAGTGGAAAAAAATGGTGGCCGTAATAAACAAATTGTGGATTTTCCAATGGTGGCAGTAATGTATACTAGTACAAGTAACAGAGAGCAAGTATATGGTTTTAGAAGAAAATTTCAATAACCGTTAATGGTCAAACACATTAGGCAACCACAAAATCCACGCATCAGAGCTTCAAATAGAGTATCATATTCAAACAACACATTATTAATAATAGATACCATATTGGACACAGTAGGTAACCAACCATATTGGACACATTCCATAGCCATATTGGACACATTAGATAGCCATACTAGTAGTAGATATTAGATGACATATTCGTTGACACACTGGGATACAATTATAATCCACGCCTCAGAGTCCCAAATTCGAGTCCCATGTTACGAGAACAAGGTAGTACAAGTATTTCACACCTTGAAGGTCAAACTCCACAGGATTTGCCTCGTTTTGAGGATGATCTGCAGCATGGCTTTGGAGTTGGAGAGGTGGACCTTGCGTCGCCATACGCGCTGGATCAGACACACGGCCGAGACTTGGCGGAACTCGACGGACTTGCGCTTCTTCTCAGCGGCTAGGAGCCGCTGCCACGTGGACGTGATCACGACGACCGCGACCACCTTGAGCCACAGCCGCCCCTGGCTCTGACACGCCAAGCGCCTGCGTTGCTCTAAGAGTTTATGCGCGCGGCGGTCCAGTTGCTCCAGTCGCCGCTGGTGCTCCATCTCAAGCTGGGCTTTGTGCTTGGCTTTGATCTGCACCTGCTGCTCCTTGCGAAGTTTGGACCTACCCATATATATATATATTTTTTTTATATACTATTTTATTTTTTTAAAAATTATAATATATATATATATATATATAGATCATGGCATCTTCTGTTGATGGTGTGTATAGTAACGTTACCGTTCGTCCCGGTAAGCTGGCGGCGGCACCGTGAATGCTTTCGCCTTGTTACCCTGGACAATCTACGTGTATAAAACCTGTTTACCAAATGCGGGGCGTTAGTTGGGCCGTTGACCAACGTACATCGACTTCCTAGGATATTACCGAATTACTTGTATTAGACAACTATTTTAATGTCATTTTAGTAGGATAGCTCCCATTCAACGATAGGAAGTATATATATATATATGTACGCACCGTGCCTTTCTTCTTCAAGTCTTGAAACTCTTTGATACGGCGCTACACGCCATAGTACAAGGGTTGGAACAGCAAATAGGTTATTATCAAATATATATATACTATAATATATATATATCACCTGGAATTGCTCCCATGCCCGTGGATCTTGCTGCAGCTCCACAAGCATGTGGTGGATTCTACATATAAATCGTCAGATTTCGTCATCGAATTCAAAACAACCTAACTTACCGCGCTTCGACGGTCAAGTCCCGCGACGTCAGCACCGCCGGCACCGGCGGCGCCGACGAAATCGCATTGCTACGGGTGCCCAAAACGCGCTGTTTGGCTTGTGGAGACTTGCGGCCCAGGTCGTACTGTGGATGATCTCTGGCGTCAACAAGATGGGGCAAGTGACTAGCGCCTTGCTGCTGTCTGTGCTCAATACCCGATATTAAAGCCTCGAGTTAATTGAAACTGGACCAACACCTACGAGAATTTGATGGTCGAGATGACGGCGGCGGCGGCGGCGCTATGCTGCCGATGGGACGATGTCGCATGTTGCCTCGTGTCATCCTCGTTGTCGTTGTCGTCGGCGGACCGCCACTCGCCCATGGACTTGATATTCCTACGAGTATTACGTTGTCACATATACGATGACATTGGGGTTGAGTTACATGGCCCAAGTGCACGGGAGCACGGAGAGGCGGATAAACTCGAGAATGTGCTCGCGGGGAACGCCCCACGCATCCAAAGGTGGTTTCTGGGGGCTTTGCAACGACTCATCCACCACCGCTTCGCTTCGAAGTACGCGGCGGCGGCGGCGAGGACTGCTCTGAGGACTACGTGTGGCGGTGGTTGAAATAGCTGGAAAGGCGGTGGGAACGACGTCGTCGGCATGTCGACGGGTGCTGTTGCCATGCACACTCGTGGGGCGAGGAGACGGAGGGGGGCAGCAGCGGGACGATCGCGGGGACGGCGCCGTGTAGACGTGCCTCCGGTCGGTGGTGGCGTCGTCGTCGAAAAGGCGCAGGTCGGCGCACGCGGACTGCATGAGTCGCTTCGCATGGCTCGGAAGTACGATAGGATGCTGCTTTCCTTCTCGGGGGCTGCGGGGCACACGACAAGTGGGCTTGGCGTCGCTGGCTATCGTGATGACTTTCCGCCCGCAGGAATCGTATGTGACGTGGTTATGCGATGCGGCACCCTTGGCCGGGCGAGTCGTCGTCGCCTCGAGGTGGTCGATGATGAACCCATCGATCAACTGCTGCTGCATGCTTCCAAGGGCATCAATCAAGTCACCGGTTTCAACAAAAGAACGTGATGCTTTGCGGTTACAAGTGAAACGCCAAGTTTTGAGAGCACATGACGACAATACGTTGCCCCTTGTGGCCACGTGGACGCTTTTGAGCAACAATCCTGGTGGGCAATACTAGTATTGTAAAGATTGCGACGTAGTAGTAGTTGGATGCTTACGGAGTGGTCTCATGCGCACAGAGATTACCGATGCTGCTGGAGCATCATGAGTATTCCATGTTAACGTTAGTACGGGCAGTCAGCCTATAGACTAGCCATCCCTGCCTTATGCATCCTGTGAATAGTCCTACATAGGTATCTCCAAGGGACACCACGAAAGGTTGCGGATGGCATGATGGTGATTCAATAATATCATTTTGGCGAATCAGAGTGTCGTGAGCTTCAAGTATACTGAAATGCATACAATTGCCGCCACGTCACCTCTGCCTCGAGAGCCGCACAAATTCAAGCTCGGCGGTGGTATTTAAAAACGTGTCAAGAAAATAACACTTGAAATGTGTATGGTATATCGTGAAATAAAATAAATGTGTTCAAGAATACGGAGAGGAAAAATATCATCCGACGAGGTATACAAGTACCAAGTCAAAGCATATCAAGTGGAATATTATTATTCCGTTGCAACACTTAATTTTGTTCCACGATCCATTCCTTCTTTTGCAGAGTCATCACCATGCGCTTCCTGCACTTGATCCGCCCGGTCATGTGCGTGCTGCCCGAAGTGGCGCAGCCTGACCGCAAGATTCCGTTCCGCGAAAAGGTGCTTTGGTCCGTGATCGTGCTGTTCATTTTCTTGGTCTGCTGTCAAATCCCCCTGTACGGCATCCAAACGTCTCGGTCAAGCGATCCCTTGTACTGGATGCGTGTGATCTTGGCGTCCAACCGCGGCACGTTGATGGAGTTGGGGATCAGTCCCATTGTCACGTCTGGCCTGGTCATGCAAATGCTGTCCGGGTTGAAGATGATTGAAGTGGACCAGAGCTTGAAGGAAGATCGCGCGTTGTTCAGCGGCGCGACCAAGTTGTTTGGGATCCTCATCACGGTCGGCCAAGCCATTGCGTACGTGGCCTCGGGCATGTACGGTGACATTGGCGAAATCGGCGCGGGGAACGCCATCTTGATCATCATCCAGCTGTTCTTTGCCGGGATTTTGATCATCATTTTGGACGAACTGCTCCAGAAGGGCTACGGCCTCGGCTCGGGCATCTCGCTCTTCATCGCGACCAACATCTGCGAAAGCATCGTGTGGAAAGCGTTCAGCCCAACGACCATCAACACTGGTCGCGGCACGGAGTTTGAAGGCGCAATCATCGCCCTCTTCCACTTGCTCATCACGCGTTCCGACAAGGCCCGCGCGTTGAAGGAAGCGTTCTACCGCCAAAACCTGCCCAACTTGACCAACCTATTTGCCACGTTGCTCGTGTTCTTCGTCGTCATTTACTTCCAAGGGTTCCGCGTCGACCTCCCCGTCAAGTACCAAAAATACCGCGGCCAGCAAGGCACGTTCCCCATCAAGTTGTTCTACACGTCCAACATGCCCATCATCTTGCAAACCGCGCTCGTGTCCAACTTGTACTTTGTGTCGCAACTGCTGTACAAGCGCTTTGGCGGGTTTATCCTCGTGCGCATCCTCGGCACATGGCAAGACGTTGAAGGCGGTGGCGGGCAGTCGATCCCTGTCGGCGGGTTGGCGTACTACATGTCTGCCCCTCAATCCGCGGCGCAGATTCTGTACGATCCCATCCGCTTCGTCATCTACGTGGTGTTCATCCTGGGCTCGTGCGCGCTGTTTTCCAAGACGTGGATCGAAATCTCGGGCTCGTCGTCGCGCGATGTGGCCAAGCAGCTGCGCGATCAACAGATGGTCATGAAGGGCCATCGCGATGCTTCCATCGTGCACGTGTTGAACAAGTACATTCCCACGGCCGCGGCATTTGGCGGCATGTGCATTGGCGCGTTGTCGTTGGTGGCGGACTTGTTGGGCGCGATCGGGTCGGGCACGGGCATCTTGCTGGCAGTGACGATCATCTACCAGTACTACGAAACGTTTGCCAAGGAACAAGCGGACGTGCCGTTGGCCAGCATGTTTGGCTTCAATTAAGTATGCAGAAACGACAAGATGAAGATATTCAAGGGGTTTGGTTGCGCTTGGCGTGCGACGAAGACGGCGAGGCTGCGCTGGCAAGGACACATTTCTACCAAGGACATTCCCGTACAAGACACATGACCTGGTGTGTTTGTTGCTCACCTCCACATTGTACAATAGTATAGCTGGATAGAACCGGAGGACCACAAATTGGATCGATCTGCCGTCAGGACCTCCCCGTTGCGCCTTCCAGCGGCGCGGCGTCGGCGGATCGATTCTAGGTGTGCGAGAGATACTCCATGTCGGGGTAGTCTCGGTGTCGACGAGCGAGCTAAGAACAACCAAATCCAATCCCATCTTCACTTGTACCTTGTTCCTTGTCACTCCTCGTCGTTGCGTCATGAGCGCCGCCGCCGAAACCCCGATAGCGCCACCGCCGTCGGCGAAAAGGGGGTTGGGTCGAAACTGGCATTTGAACATGGTGAAACTTGAAATTCGGCAATGCCTGTATAAATGAATAAAACGCAGACGTGTATTGTGAAAATTAATACAACGTGTCATGGCTGGCAAAACGCAAGTCGCCTCCTCAAGTGCCGCAAGGAGAGCACACACACACACGTGAGCGACGCAAGGTCATTTCGCTGGAGGACGGACAAGAGCACATGGACAAGTCCACGCGGCAACGAGCGCAGCGTCGCAGGAAAGCACGTACCAATGGCGCGAAGGATGGCGACAACGACAATGCCAATGGCAGTAGCATGATGCGTTCGCCGCCACCGCCAAGATCGCGGTCGTTGTTGCAACAGCAGGACAAAGACCAGGGCGACGGCACGGCCGTGTCCGACTCGGATTCCGACGACGAAGCGGATAGCGACAAAGAGACAACGTACAGCACGTTGCTCCAGGCACTGAACGCCCATGCGGAGGACGCCGAGGCTGAGTTGAAGCAAGACAGCACGCTCGAGGGCGACGAGTTGGAGGCAGTGGTCGAGTTCAAGGACCGTATCCTGGAGCTTAAGACGAAGGTGCAGATGATCGAAGATGGAAAGTTCGCCGAGTACTGTCGCCGGTGTGCAGACTTCAAGGACGACCGGTCGCGATCGCTTGAGACTGCCAAGCAGCACAAGGAGTTGCAGTTGAAGAACGTCGAGGATCTGCGGCTGTGCGACCTCCAGACAGCAGACAACGTGTACGCCACTGCGAAGTCGCATGTGAAGAAGCGATTGGTGGACAAGGTGACGTCCATGTTGACCGATGTCGACGCCAAGCTCAAGCAGCTGGACATAATGGAGGCGGAGGCATCGTCCTCGGCTCCAGTGAAGAAGGGTCCCATTGAGGTGCCTAGTGTTGGTTCAGAGCAAATCGAAGATGATGACGACCAGCCCCGACCAAAAAAGGTCAAGCTGATGGCATTTGATTCCGTGAATATGTCAGGTACCGTTGATGTCACTAAATGGAGGGAAGGCGACGATTGAATATAGGACCATTGGCGACGAAAATCAAAACCCAAGTCCCTGGCTACAAGGACCTGCCGTACGAAAACCTCACCGCCTTGTCCTCCGACGACATCAACGCCGACTTGCATGCAGTGTGCGCCGTGTGGAAAGCGGCCGTGCCTGAACCCCCATCAAGTCCCCAGGCGCGAAACCCCCTTTCATTGGAAACAGGTCGGTTGATATGCGATGGAACACTCCCTGGAAGGATGTAATCACATTCTAGTGGCCATTCATTACAATCGCGGACTTCTCTGGTGCGGCAAGTACATCTTTGACGAAGGCGACGAAGTGGTCGTGTCGTCCAAGGTCATGAAGCGAGAATACATTGGTGTGATCCATGCTCTGTCGAATGACGCTGTACGTCGATGTCAACCGCTTCTTCAACTCACGGATCGACATGTAGGTGTTCCTTCGGCTGAATACCGGCGAGACCGCCCGCGTACACTACAGCCTCATCGCATCCATGCGCTGCGAGCTCAAGCCGATCCTTCGAGGCAACGCCGGACTCAAGAATCTGCAGTCATGTGGATGGGTTCGGTGCGAACCTTTCTAACTCGAGGAATATATGAAGTTGTTCAGAATGTAATTCTATCCGGACGAGTCGCTTCTTATCCGGATATTTCGTAAATTGTCCAATCAACGCACGGCATTTTATTGACTGGCACCTCAGTGTGCAAATCTCGAAGGATGGCGTTGGTGCGACTGGTGTCGAGCGTGCGGCGCATGCTGCAAACTCCGCAATGGAGCTTCCTCCCCCAAGTTCAGCTAGAATTGCTTCCAGGTGTGCATCTCCCTGAAGGTGATGCGGATGAAGTCGATGACGATGCGCTGTGGCATGCCTGCCCCAAGTCCAAGGTCACACGGTCTCGCAAACGCATCCGAAACAACGACCCTTCCAAGCGCTTGAAGAACATCGTGCATTTGCAGGATTGCGAACACTGCGGCAACAAGAAGCTCCGACACAGACTATGCATGGGATGCTTCAAGAAGGGAGAGTACTTTACGGCGTAAACCATTCAACCACTCACTCTACCACGAATTGAAGATGCGATCGTGTGTTACCATTATATATGCTTTGTTGTGACTCCTTTCAATCGATCCATCCATAGAATTCAAACACGAGATGCAAAAGCGGCGGGGACAGGTATCTCCACGAACATGCGGGTGGTAAGCGAGGCGATGATGGGCTCCATATTGACGTGAGGAACAAATGAACCCATCGCCGCCAACTTCGCACATGATGCCGCGCATCATTGGCGCAAAGGATCAAGTAGATGACTTGGCGTTGGGGATGAGGAAATCTACGGTGGTACTCGGGCGTCCAGACAGGAGACCACCGGGATGACAGTTTATGACGCAGGGAGGATGGCATGTTCCTCGTCTGTCGAAATAGGATCAAATCCTGTCGTGCTAGCACATATGTGAGAACATCTACTGTAATGAACATGGGGCTTACGAATGGAGGCTTTGCTTGCGCCTGCGAGCAGGAGGGCTTCAGCCATCGAGTGATTTCGGCGACTCATGGCCAGCGCAAGAGGAGTCGTTCCACATCTAGCATGACGGAATAAGCTACACAATGTACTGCATTGGTCCGTACAAAGTCTTAGCGTTCACGTCGACGTCAGTTCGGGCGAGCAAGTGGAGGAAGAGGTCCATTTGACCATGCTGAATCGCGTGATGGAGCGCCGTCCACCCATCGCCGAGTGTGTCGTTGATGGAAGCATGTGGGTCTAGGAGATATGCATGTACTTGGAGGATGTTGCCAGTGACAGCTGCGTTCCGAAGGAGGTGGGCGGAACAGCGCCGAGTATGAACCGCCACGCCCGACATAAAACTGGGCAACAATTTGGACCAATCAACAAGGAGTACGTATTAATTTTATCCAATCAACAAGGAGTACGTATTAATTTTATCCTATATTATCCAATCAGATCGTACAAAACAGCACTTAGTCGGCATGGGGGTGGAATTCTGCATGCTCTGCCACGGGAATGTCGTTGACGATGGGAGCAGCTGCTGCTGTAAACGCATGGGGATTGCATAGAAACTTGACAAAGGTCGGCGTTTCCAGGATGCGGCGGACGCGCCATCCTCGGATGTCGGCAATGGCAGGGTACACATCTACACAAGGCATTAGCATTTCAAACGAGGAAGCAACACACAAACCTTCAAAGAAGTAGTAAATGTGTCCGACGACGATTCCAATCAAGTCGATCGTGGCGCTGTTTCCGAGAACCATGGAGAAGAGCAGGAGTACCCACGGCAAATACGGCGCCGTGAAGGGAAAGAGGCCGAGGAAGCTCAACCGAGTGTGTTCGTTTCGTCGGCCCCATACGTACACCATCATGAACGTCAAGGAGGAGCCGAGGAAGTGGACGCTCACAAATGGCGCGACAAGCTAAGCATGCACGTACATTATGGAAAGAGCGAGTTGAAGGAATGAACACATTTGCTTACAATCATGGTGAGGGCGCCGAGGAGAAGCATGTACAGGAAGTCCGCGGTACGGCCACGGAACGACCCTTCCTCGAGCATGCGCGAGTATCGCACGCTACATACGCCATCGCATGAGACCATATGTACACTCAATGGAGCAAGGGAGGTGCACGTACAGGAAATACATGTGAAAGATAAAGTCGAGGCTGAACAGCCCAAAGAAGAGGAAGTTGGTGACGAGGCGCCACACTTGGCCGCGGTAGAAGATCAGGTTGAAGTTGAAATAGAGGGAGAACGGCGATATCAGCTCCAGCGCGCATGCGACCGTCGTGAGGAAGGCTCCTGTCAGGTACAACCGGCTGATGATTGGGATCTCATAGTACCATTCCAGCGGATCGTTCATGCTTCGTCCGGTCCGTCGGCGGCAACACAATGATCGAAGGAATTCGAAAATGTCCACATTTCGACCAATCCTGTGGGGGCACGAAAGCACAACTCCAAGTTGATTATCCGGTAGTCCGGATACCCATCCCCCAAGTATCCCCATCCATCATCGATGGCGGAAGAGTACCGCCGCCGCTTAGACAACAATGTTGAGTCGTTGATTGAGAACTTCCGCGGGCTGGTCACTGTGAGCAAGATCAAGGACAGAACGCAGACATCCAGACAGGCGCTCCAGAGTTCCGTGTACGCGACGACCTTGGTACATGCAGGGGAGTCACTGCTCAAGCTCATTGCCGAACTTAAGCTGTCGTTGACCCTCAACGACTTCGAAGGCATCAACCAGCAAGTGGACGCTACCAGCGAATCCCTCAAGGAGAAATGCGACGACGTGGACACGTCCATCGAGCACTTGTGCTCGGACGTTGCGGCCGCGCTGTTCGAATTGGAGAACCACTACGCCCAGAGCAAGTGGCGCCATCCCACCCCGGACGGCGCTGCCAACCCGCCCCTTCTTCCTTAGATATATATATATATATACGCGATCTTCGAATTCACACACAATAGTCATCTTAGTCGTCCTCATCGTCCGAGTCTCCTTCGTCGTCGTCCATATCCAGGTCGTCATCGTCGTCGGGGACGGTTGCCCCCAAGGGAGGATTCGCCGACGACGTCGCGGATGTCTTGGCCGTCGCCGGCAGCAGCGCATGCAGTTGGTCTGTCTTGGGCTGCTGGACTGCCGCCGCCTCGCCTTTCTCCTTGACCTTCCACTCGGCCATGCGTTGCGCGTTCTCCCTGTCCGCCAGCGGTTGATAGCTACGTTGTATATATATCCTTGTTCATATGGAGGATCAAGTACGAGATATATATATCTACCTAGCTCGCTGCTCTTCAGTCAGCTTTTGCCACATCTCCCCCAGCAGTCTCGACGCTTCCTTGGCACTTGCATTTGGGTTTTGCGCCATCAGCTTCTTCCGCCATTGCCTACCAACCACACATATTGTACGTTTCGTATTTTTATATTTATAAAAAAAATGAATAATAATCTAAAGAAATATTATTTGATTCAGGTGTTCGACTAAGTTAATACCTGCAAAAGATCAAAAATGTATTCACAGGCTTGGGCGGGCGATTCGGCTTGCCGCTTCCTTGGGGGTACGCTGCATACTGACTGGGAAACATCGCGGCACTGCGCACGGGAAAGTACGGCATCACAGACGTCTGCAGCGGCGCCGGCATCGACGACGTCGGTCGCATCCTCTTAAAATCCTACACCAAACAGCAAAATTAATATATTTTTTTCGAATATATTTTTAAAAATGATTTTGTTATGAATTTACCTCCCGTTCCAGCAGCGCAATGTCGTCGGCCACGACATAGCGGACCTTGGGCTCCCATAGCTTGGCTTCGTCAAAATCTCGAAGCGGGTGGCTCGTCACGGGGGCCAGTCGCGCTTGCTGTTGCTGCCCGTCGGATTTCTAATGCGACTTGTTATTAGCTGATCAAAAAAGTGATCTATAAATCTAAATTAGAAATAATAAAAAGTATAAATTTATTGTCGATTTGATACAAATTGGGGGAGGGGTGCAATCGAATCGCGCCGACCAAACCGATGTGATTGGTTGAATTTCATTGAGAAGGTTTTGATTGGCTAATAATTTTGAGCTCATCTGAAGTAGCCAATCAAATCGATTTAAATTCCAACGAGAAACCCAAGCCACAACACGAAATTTCACTCGAAAGCACAATATTTTAAAACATGAATACCAAGTGATATCGATCCATCTGCATGTCATTGGTGTACGACATAAATTAGTGTTGGAGGCATCCCACATGTCAGTTCAACCAATATACGCGCAATTGGTGTGTGACAAAATTAGTGTGAACAAAATTAGTGTGCATGCACTTGTCAAGTCTATATTCGAATTTCGAGTGGGGTGTTCAATCGTCTCAACAGAACCAAATCAAATCGACAGACCAATCAAAACGCCAGAAAAATTTCAAGTGGCCAATCCAACTCCTGGAATCATCGAATTAGTGTATGACTTCAAATAGTGTGATACATACATTTTACATGCAATAAGTCAGGACAAGGATTTCAATCTCCAAATGTTGGTTCATAGCACAATATACCACGTACTTTGGCATATGCGAGCAACTGGTCGCGAATCGAGAGGGCAATTTGCACTTGGAACTCGCCGTCGTCGAGTCCGAGGTCGGCACACAGCGCCGCGGCAAACGCGTCGGGGTTGTTGAGGTCGTTCGAGACGTCCCATTCAAACGAGTCGATCAGAACCGTGTCGTTGATGCGCAGTTTGATGTAAATCGGGATCAGCGCAGTGTCCTTTTTCGTCGTACTGGACGGTTTGTGGACATGTGACGTGGCAGCCTCAACTTGCAGTCGAATGGCAGTAGCAATCGGCGCGTAAAAGCAGTCGGGCAAGTCCAAATCCCGAATCAACGACGCAGAAAACGTATCGTAGGTAAAGTCGCTTTCATGTCTATATATGTATATATATAAATATATATATAAATATATGGCGAATGAACGACCAAGAACGGATAAGTCGTACATGTTGTAAGCGAATGAGTCAATGTAGCGGTAGCCGTCGACGTCCACGTCCAGACGGATCGGCACGAGCGCCGATGCGTTGTGTGTGATCTACATATGAATAACGATATATTATAGTGGTACACACATATATGAAGAAGGATATAGAGGCATGCTGTCAAGTTGTTGGTACCTTGGGGTATTTGTACAAGGGTCGTTCTGCCAGTTGGACCAGTGGTTTCCTGCGTAGTAAACGACGCCAGCATGAGGCAAGACGTAGCGTACGCCACATCAACTTACCGCTTCGAGTGTTGATGGAACGCATCCATGCCGCCGCCGTCCCCGATGGAAGGATGATGCATCATGCGATGGGGAGCCTGCATGAGCATGGCCGACTTGTCCAGAGGTTTCCCGCCGCGGCGGTTCACGAGCCAGCCTTCCATGAGCCCATTGATGCGAGCAATGTTTCCTTTGTATCTCCCTAGCATCCACTGCGACAGCATCGATGCGTTCACCCCGCATTCCTTGGACACGTCCACTTGGCGCAAACCTAGCCTGGACCTCAATGCTTCGACTTCTTGCGCCAGCATGGACCGTTCAATCTCTGCATTGTCCTACGTAGCATGCGTGCATACTCATCCATCTCTTCTTCGTGGAGGTGGTCCGGACGACATAATTCTACCTGCTGCAGATGCGCAAAGTCCGATCCCGGCGGCCCCATCCGGCCCGACATGATGACGCTAGCTGAATCCTGTTTTCCGGATACATAATCATTTATCCGGATATGGCCATGACGAGGCCAAAGTTAGGGCCAGCCGTTGGGATATCTGTGGCCAGCCATTGCATCGAATGTCAAGAGGTTTAATTTTATTTGTCGCGAGGTCTAGTACAAATATCTATATGCGAAATTGAAAGTCGGAATAAAAATCATCGTGCAGTTTTCTAAATCGGATTAAAATCCACACCTCCACGGGCCATTGTGCAATTGACTCGGTCTTCCCCACATTATACATCCCAGAACATCATGTCCTTCACCGACGTCGCATCTGAAGTGGGCTTGAAGAAGCTGAACGGCTTCCTCACCGCCAAGTCGTACATCGAAGGCTACCAGTTCTCTGCGGCCGATAGCACCCTCTTCAGCAAGTTCACCACCGTGCCCGATGCTGCCAAGGTGCCCAACGTGTACCGTTGGTACGTGCACACCGCGTCCAAGTTGGGACTCCGCGTGGCGTTGACTGCGCGCAACCAAGTTGCCCAGCCGTCCTCCCCTAAGGCTGCTGCCAAGCCCTCCACCCCCAAGGCGTCGACCCCCAAGGCTGCTAAGCCCGCCGACGACGATGATGATGACTTGTTCGGTGACGACGACGATGACGAGGAAGCCGAAGCCGCCGCGAAGGAAGCCGCCAAGAAGCGTGCCGACGCCGCCAAGGCCGGCAAGAAGGAAAAGGCCAAACCCGTGGAACGATCGCAAGTCGTGATCGAAGTCAAGCCTTGGGAAGCCGAAACCGACCTGCTCGACTTGGCCGCTAAGATTAAGGCGCTTGAAATCAACGGGTTGACGTGGGGTGAAGGCCACAAGTTGGTCCCTGTGGCGTACGGCATCAAGAAGTTGCTCGTGCAGTGCATCATCGTGGACGACCTCGTGCTGTTGGACGACATCACGGACGCTATCGAGTCGTTCGAAGACTTCGTGCAAAGCGTGGATGTGGCGTCCATGAACAAGGTCTAAGGCGACCCCTTGGCAACCACCCACCCTCCCACCCACGTCCGTCGATCAACGAACGGGGCTGGGCGTAGTAAGTAGTGTAGGAGATGATGAAGACAGGTTCAGCTTCAACCACACCAAAAGTTAAGATTTATGATGTCGTTGGATTTCGTTTATACCCAACGACGTTGCCAAGATGGTGTTGGTGGCTGAACGATTGCGGTCATATGATTGATTAGCTTGCCAAACATTTCTCCAACTTGTAAAGCCAAGCAGCTTGCAATAGCTTGCGAAATGCCGTCAGAGGGGCGATGATGGAACACATGACATAACGTTAGCATGATTACGTACTAATCACGATTCGTGATCCCAACAGTATGCATACTACTACGTGAAAAAGGATTCAAAAGTTGGTTCAAAAGTATGTCATTTTACCCAATATTTGGACTTTTTTGTGCTGATTCGCCAAATCTGTCGATCTTTGTAAAGATCGTCCAGTATCACACTAATTTCAATCACACACTATTTCAATGTTGGATTATTCAAAGAGTGGATTTGATTGGCTAGTTGATTCTTGTTCTGGGTTTTGATTGGTCGATCGATTGTCTCCGATTTGGTGCTGCTCATTCGATTGAGCACCCCACTCCAATTTCGAATCCAATGAACAATACTACCACGCACAGTACTTCAAGAACTTAGTATGCAGTAGCATGCCAAATCTATCGTTTTAGGGTGCAAAAATATTGCAATATTCAGGCCCAAAACGCCATTTTGGGGCCGAATTCAACAAATCTGATAAGAATCGAAACATGTCTTGCTTGAAGAGATTTAACCCAAATCCAATAATTCCACGTGGGATTTACTCCTTGAAGAGGTCCAAAACGCCATATTACAAAATGGACCTTTTACCTCCATTTCTCCATTTTGAAAATGCCAATTTTTGGTTTATCCCATTTTGCGAGAACATGGAATATTAGTTAAAACTGACCCATCCTAAGAATATTAGGACCTAATTTCATTGACATTATATATCATCTCGTTTCAATCCAATAACGTTTGAAGACCGTTTCGATACGGCAGCAAATGCTGAAACTGCGAACTGAACCACAAAACTTTGCGTGCAGCCATCACTGACTTCAATCCACATCTCGTAGTATAGACATATTAGTAGCTTACAGTTCGTGATCTGCCGTAGCTTGTGGTTTACCTACTAGTATTAATTACCCTTGGACGTGTGTACTTGGTGACAGTATGCTATGCAGTACTAGTATACCCGAAATAATAATCCATGCTTCCACCAATCAGTCGTATTCTTTCGGAAAAAGTGCAAAACCACACAAAAATAAGCCAATCAGGATCCGTTACGCTCGGGAGTACGACCAATATTTTTTTCGTAACCAGGCGGCAACGATCGCATACAAATGCGTGCGGGCCAATCAAACCGTCACGAAACCGTTTCGCCCGTTAGAACAACACGACTTGTTACTCATTTCCGCATTGGCTACAAAGTGAAATCAGACGACGTGGCCACCAGCGTCCTCGCCATCATCGACTTGCCGACCTTGGCCAACATGGGGCAGTTGCTTCCATTTACGAAAACTCAGTACACCGAGACGCTGCGTGGGTACCTGAGTCCGTCGCGCGAGGGGTGCGGTACTGCACGACGTTGCTTTGAACAACAACTTGCGGTGGTCGGGGTAATATAACTTGACTGGCCACGAGGCGTTCGTCATAGTCGGACCCGTTCGACTTGCAAGCGCTGGGAAGAATTACACGTCGAGCATCTCCACCTCAACGGTCCACCCGACGTGTGTCTGGAACGAACTCACGCAATTGGACCGACGCCAACGTCCGCAACTTCAGCGCCAGCACGCAGCATTGTTGGTAGTTTGAGATGGCGCACACGGACGAGCGTCAAGGGCGGTACGCCACCGTGTACGCGTGGATACGGTGCTGCGCAACGTCGTGTGGAAGGACTACATGGTCAAGGCGAGCAGCCTCCACTCTGAGTTTTTGACGTGGCGGTTCAAATGGGGCTGGAGGAGGGTGGCAAACGTTTCACTGGACCACGTTCAAATAGCAGTTCCGGAACCGGAGGCAAGTCGGGATCATGGAGATAGTCGAGGTGAAAATAGCGGTTGGGATGATGGCGCAGTCAAATACATGAGTTCAGGGTCACCACCATCGACAGCATCGTCCTGTGCGCGTCCAACTACAGTACTAACATTTGCATTTGGTCATGGTTCGTACAGTGTATCGAGAGTAGTACAAGGAAAACATATGGGACCACTTTCGACCCAACCCCACATAAAGGACAAACTATACCTGGTGCGTCGAAGATCACCGCCTGCTCCGAGAGATGCAGGACACGAACGAAATCCCCGAATCATTCCGCATGTCGACTACATGTGCCCTTTTTGCAACGCTCTGCTTCAAAATGTTCACTTGATGAGAACTCGAGCATAGTGGGATGGATGCATGTATGTACAGCGGTTGTGGTGGGTGTTGGTCGACCTGTGAGTAACTAGGCGTGTCAAGTTCGACCACTTTTTATCTAGAATATTGTATTGCTGCGGTACCCATTCAGTAGGTGCGCGTTTTCTCTGTAGACACACATGAAGTTGAGCTTAAACTGGGAGATAATCCACATACGTAGAAAGGGAGTCCATGCAAGCATTCTAATCTGCGTGGGGTGAAGAGCACGAACAGGACTACGGACGAGGCACGTGCCTCGTGCCTCCCAACCTGGTCGTCGTTTCTAAATAGTGGGATGGATGGGTTCAGCAGTTTATGTCATATTTGTTGATTCCAGTCAGTGATAACTCTTGCAAGTGCATGCAATAAAGTTCCTGGTTGAACCTGGCAAACATGAGAAACCGCACTGCAACAACCAGTGCCAAACGAGCGACTGGAGCCACGTATGTTGATGAACTCAAAGTGAAATTTACGACCTCTCGCTCATCCCCAATCCGACACCATGGCTGACGCTACCGACAGAGCCAGTGCCGTGCCCGAGGCACACGCGCAAGCCATGCGCATGATGGAGGCGCGCGCGCAACAAGCCAGCCAGCGGAAGAGAAGGCGTCCATGCTGTCTGTCATGTACGAGCAGATGAAGGACGAACGCAACGCTGGCGTCCATCGGTTCTGCAACTGGGTCGCGGGCCAAGTGACCGTCGTTGGTTTTGACAACTTGTTCCCATTGGTTGAGGCGTGGGGTTACGAATGCGGTTGGCACCAGACAGCCGACGGAAAGACAGCGATCACGAAGCTACTCGACGAGTTCAAGGCCTCGAGTGGTGTGATGGTCGTTCCCGTTCCGGCCGCAGCAACAACCCCCTTGCCGCTGCCGCATACAAGTGTCGCTGAAGTCGGAGGCGACAAAGTTAACGATGGTTGCAATGGCGCCACGGCTTTATCGTTGGAACGTGCCCCGGGACCGATCAACCACCGAATGGCAAACCTTCTGGCACGCCCCACCCTGGTTCGCACCCATTCAGACGGGAAGGCCAAGCGAAAGACCCCCGATACACCCGAATCGGAGAAGCAATCGCTAAGACCGAGATCCATCGACGTGTTAATCGGCGCGGCGGACGCTTCAAGTTCCCCAACGTCGGGTTCCCCGTTCATCGAAACTTCGGACGCCGCGATAAGTGCGTCGAATCCGGCAAGATCTCCCGGCAGAGGCGTGTGCTCACTCCAAATAACCCAGCTCCTGGACAGAATTCGAGGAACCAAACCATTGGTTCAGTACGAGAGCGTTGCCTCGTTCGTACACGAAGCACATGCCCCGCCTGGCGTCGCTGCCGCCATTCAAGAATTCAACAAACGGCTCCGCGAATTCTGGTGCACGAGCGGCCACTTACTGTGGGAGTCACGGGTGCGCTGGAGGTCACCGCGGCCACCTTTAGCGGTGACGAAAGAACTGCGGAAGAATGTAGTGCTCTTGGTTGGACACCTCCATCTATTGAGGGTCCAGTACGGCGGCGACAGGCTCATTGAGTTTCTCTGTGCGGCGCCGCATCCAGCGTGGCCTTCTGTGATGACCCACCCTGCCACG